AGCGCCAGATGTAAAATCTGTAGGAATAGAAGAAATAAAAAGAAAAAAAATCCTTAAAAGGAAAGCTGCACAACCATCAAACTATTGCACTCACTGTTAAGCTTAGCCGCTTTGGTATTCAGCTCAACATATTTCTCGTAGGGTTCACGCACCGCGGTGCCAGCCTTGTCGTAGAACTCGCGCCAGTAATATTTCAGCTCCTCTGGATCACGGCTGGTTGAAATAATGTCCTGAATTTCGGGATCGAGCGAGAGATCGCATTTGGTGGCATTCTTATAGTCACAAACGCGCACTCTAGCGAAGTTCGATTCCATAGTAGACATGACGCTCAAGTACTCAGCGTAATCGGCTTCGCTGAGCGCTGCGTACTCCAATTTCGTGAGCTTTTTGAATTGGCGGCGCAAGTTTTCCGATTTAAAAGTTTGCCAATTGAATTTCTGTAAATCGGTGGCCGCTTCCTTCATGAATTTGGCCACATCGGCAGCGACTTCGTTCTTCTGGCGCTCATTCTCATCATTGATATTGGATGCATAGGCCCATGAGGATTCCCTCTCGAGATAGTTGCGACGAGCGATCTCTTTGTTCAAATTCTCAATGTACTCTGTGGCGGTAATCTCTTCTTTTACGCTAGCGAGAGCGAATTGCAACTAAATAGGGGTTAAATGTGGTTGAACGGTATTTTACAGGGAGTTGCCAAGGCGAATTAATATAAGTTGATAGCAGGAGTACAAAAACAAAAGTCTAATTGTATTTTGTTTTTGCTTTTCCGGCGTTAACTATCAAAATCTGTAAAAAAAAATGTGTGTGGAAATGCAGACGTACTATTTCAATTTGACATATGAAGCCGTGAGGCGAACCATATACACCAAAATCAGCTGATCTAGTAACACCAATTATACATAAATTCGCTTTGGGAGTTGTATTTTTTAACTTACCGCCAGTGAGAGCAGAAACGTTGTGATGAAAATTTTCATGTTGTGTAAATTTATTGTTGAATTTTCCCAAGTTTAATTTTTTACTGAAGATTTTAGAAAGAAAAAAAAATGGATTAGTTTTGCATGAAAAGGCTACACACATACATATGTAATAAAATTTGAAGAGAGGCAGCCTGAACATTTTTGAAGTTTGCTAAAGTTTTCAAATTTTCAGTTTCACAAATACATTCCCACTTTTAGTCTCAACCCAGCCAGCAAGAAAACGTACATTTTACGAACATTATGTTTTACGAGGGTTTCTCTTATCGCCAAAAAGTTAGAGAAAAGCTCGTAAACGATAAAACAAAAAAATATAATAGAAAGAGGCTTGTAATAATTTGTCAGCACAAGAAAAAATTTTAGTTTTGTTGAAAATGGTACCCTTCGAAACAATAAGAGACCAACCATTGCAGAGGGCGTCCTGCCAAGAAGCCCATTTAAGGAAAAGCATGCATTTATGGAATTTGAAAAAGACCTTGGGAGTTCAAGTGAAAAACAACAATTATTGGTAACTAAAAACATAAATTAACCATAATAAAATAATTTTTATTGCATTCTTTAAACACTTTATATGTTTCTGAACTCGAAGCTATAAATATTTTAAATGTAGATAAATGTTTAAGAACGTACTGGCGGAAAATTATTACAGATGAGGTAGCAGAACTTTTCTCGTGGAAGGGAACTGGTACCAAATGCAACGCTATTGGTTTGGCAACGACTGCGGCAATAAGAAGTACTGATTATAATATTATTTATTACCACTTTTTATTTAATTCAATTTTCCGATTTCCAATGGAGTTTAATCTTTAACTTTATTTTTTTTAGGTGCTTTTCGTCAAAAATTTAACTCCGACGAAGAAGTTTTTATTTCCGTTTCAAAGAAGCACTTCCAATATGCATACGACCGGCAAAAAAAATTGGCAGCCTATCGGCAAAAAAGAAAAAATAAATTCAGCTACTTTATAATATACATTAAACCCCTCTTATTTAATTGTTAATTTGGAAATAGATAGTTTGTTAATATTTATTTATCTGAAAATATCTTCACATATATAGTGCCGGAAAAAAATATTGGCACAGAGAATTTTTCGCCATGAATGCAAAGTTTTTTATTCTGATTTCTTCTCTAATTGTTTTTTATAAAAATATAGTTAGTAAGAAGTTCTACTTTCAAATCAGATTTTTAGAAAAATTTTAAGTATGCAGTTTTATAGCCCATTTAATTTTAGTATAATAAAGTGCACACTTGAATAGCTAGAAAACCTCTTTGTTTTTTGACAATTTTTTATACGCAGTTTCTTCCATACAAAAAAAAATGTCGCACATAATTTGCATGGAAGAAACTGCGTGAAAAAATTGCCAAAAATCAACTCGGTTTTCTGGCAACTTCAAGCTTGCACTATGTTATACTAAAATATAATGGGATATAAAACTGCACACTTAGAATTTTTCTCAAAAATCTGATTTGAAAGTACTAACTATATTTAAAAAAAATAATGTGCGAAAAGAAATTCAAGTAAAAAACTTTGCATACATTGCGAAAAATTCTCTATGCCAATACTTAGATCCGGCACTATAAATATTTACTAATTATAATTCCATTCAATAAAAGAACTACAATAATTTGAATTAATTAATTGCCTTTATTTTTAGCATTCAAAAACAGTAGATAAAGCAGTGTAAAAAAACGCTTTTTTAACGTAAATTAATCGTTTACGAGACTCGTTTACAATTAAAAAACGGACGTAAAAATATTCGCATACGAATGCTTTTTCGATCCGTTTACGACTGTTCGTAGGCGATGCACAATTTAAAGCGAAAAAGTGTTCGAAAAAGAGTCGTAAACGGCTATCATAAACGACTTTTAATCCGGTTTTTCTTCGAGAAAATATCCATTTACGAACTCGTTTACGATGATTTTGCTGGCTGGGAAATAAATGAAACTACATATTTAAAAAAAAAAAATTTAATTTGCCATTTTTCCACAATTGTCACAGTTTCTTTTCTCAAAAACTGGACCTGCTAGAAACCAAGGTACATTGAACAGGTAGTATCAGTAGAGCAGCTGATTTGATTTATTTTCAAATTATTTGGTCTCGAAAATGTCAAAATTGTTAAAATCCATTTGCTTGTGAAACCTTTTTCCATACAAAACAAGCGATTGAATAGCAGCTTTTGGAACGTTCGCCCAACTCGGCAGCACGACCGCTGATTAGTGGGCCTTGCAAAGGATGGATCAATGCTTCGATTAGCAAACAGATTTACTAGGAAAGAAATCATCATCAATTTTTATTTTTTCCAATTTCAATTTTTTATTTTTTATAATTTTTTGTATTTCACATGGCACGCTTTGATTTAGAAGAAAAAATTCAGAACAGTTTTTGACACTTTCGATACCAGAAGCAAAAACAAAATACACGCAAATGTTGTTTTTGCTCTACTGATACTCTTTAATGTGCCTTGCTAGAAACATTTTTAAATGCATTTCAAATCAGCATCAACAAAGCTAAAAGATGAGAACGGTCCCGTTTTTGAGATAAAATACGACCAGATTTTGTTGAACTGTGTAATCAGTTTTATAAAAAATATATATAGTAGTACCACGAATACAAATTTAAATACACAATGAAATGTTTTATCCAAAAGAGCATCAAATTCAATAAAATGTATATGCTTTACACAGGATGTAATACGTAATATTTTATCAAAATTTTTAATAAGGTTTACGTCAATTTTGTTAATTTCTGCAGAAATTTCACAATTTTCAAAAAAAAACGGCGGGCAGTGTTTTCATCATTGGTGGTGCCATAACCTGTTTTAACACCATCAATTATTAATCCGGTTTTTAGTTTAAACTCGTGCTGTACTCTCTTTTTATTTTCACTAAAAATTTGTTTGTTACATTCTCCTGTTACTCTCCAGCATTTTAAAGGCAACCTGTACGATATATGCAAGATACACTCGAAGAACTTTATATGCGCATGTAAAGTAGAAAGGCCCCTGCAGTACGGGGGAGCGACTATAGGACTGCTGAATCGGTAGCTACGTGATAAACTCCGTCAATTACCGACCGACTATTTGCAGTGTATTTCATCGATTACTTTTACAAGGCAATGTCCTAGGCAGTAGTCACCATCGGCTCTCTCAGCACTACCGGGAGTTACTAAAGTAGTCCCTTGGATGATTTATGGGCGTCCTCTGTCGTAGTTCTTCGCTATCTGGTTCGACTCTGCACTACCATGTGCACTGCCACGGTTTAATAGAGTAGCTACTTACCTCGGAGTCGGTGCAGTAGCGGTTCAAAAGTGTTCATTTCTGTTGGTTTTGCATGGCATAAATAACACGTTTGGCCGGCTGTATTACCAGTCAAAACATTAACTATAGCCCCGTCTATCATTGTCAACATCAACGCAAAGTTTTTTCTCACCAACAGTGGCTTGATAAGTTCGAAGTTCACCGATTTCCTTTTGCGTGTTGTTTTCCAACTCTCGAACTAGCTGAGGGCATTCCTTCTTAAAGCATATTTTAATTGGGCGACAATACCGCGATGAGGAGCATTGGCTGTTTAACCAAACCTCTTTGCCACTGGTGTTATTTACAATGCGAAGTGGTACTATTGCACAAACAATGAGAAATTCGTCCGAATTGGGCTCCTCTGAAAACTTCTGCTTGTATTGGCTGTGACCGCTGCTGCCATCAAACCCACATATGCACTCTAAAGTCAAGCCAATTTCCTCATTACAATTTTTCTTTAAAAGTACTTAAATGTAGCAAACTTGATTCCGTTCTATTAACCAACTCCTGAAGTGGTACCTCAGCTGACGTTTCGGATACTGTGATCAGGTTTGGGAGCATTTCGTCTTTGGCTATTTTAAGAGCATAATAACTGGGAAAACAGTCTTCGTGAATTCTGTTTACCACTGATCGCAAAGTATTATACTTTTCCTTTGATAGGTTTAAATCGAAGAAAAGCCCTAAAGTGTCGTTTATAGAAAGACAGTCTACGTCTCCTTGGTGTACTGATTTTTCGATCTTTTTTGCAGCTTTAGTAAGTTCTTCCGGCGATTTTGATGAAACAAGAACGTGAACCCTTCTTCTTTTTGTTCTATTTGAAGCCATTTCATAAGGCACATACGGCCTTCCCACGTGTGCAGAAGTTATCTAAAAAATAACACGATCCAGGACTCAGTCAAGCCATTAAATAATTTACATGTAATAAAATCAAAATGCAAATGCGTCACAAGGAATTCATTGTGTACCTCTATGGCTACTGGATTTTGCACAACAAACTCTGTCTGAAGCCAATCTGAATACTTCTTCTCAAAAATTGATCTATTCCGAGAACTTGCTGTCAACGTTTGCTTGAATGCTGCAACCAGTCGTCGAGTTTTATCTTTTTTTACCTTCGTAGAGTCTCCAAATTTTGTTTTTAGAAAATTGTTTATTGCACATTCTTGATTGGTTCGATTGGAATTTTTTTCTTTCAGCCAAACTTTAAAAATGTCACCAAATTTAACGAGAGGTGCCACTACAAAAAATGCAATATAAGACAAGCTCGCAGGTTTTCGCAGCTGAAATTTTTTAGACTTCTCACACATACTTGCGTCCAAATTCCTGTATTACTATTTCAGCTCGCTTCTCAGGTCCTTTTTAAATCCTGATCTCTAAATATTCCGTTTTGAAATGTTTATAAATTGTAAATTAAGCGGAATTTTAATTCAAAATATCTCGGTTATGCAACAGGCAACACAAAAATCAAAGTACACTACCACAACATAGAAACACTTGTACAGTATCCACAAATACCATTTGACTAAATGGTTGTCAAGTTCCCAAAAAAGCCTACTTAAAAAAAATCACTCAAAATCAAAATCTTGTATTTAAAATTTATTCATTTACATTGCATCCACTTTGAAGCCACCTTGTGGCAAAAAAAAATGCATTTTTTCCAAAAATTACTCTTGATCTAAGAAGGATATTAGGTAATAATTTTACAAACTAATTTTTTTTTTAAATTAGCTAGTTTGGTTTTTTGACTTTTGGC